GCATCAGAGACTGGCAATCCGGATTCACTCCTGGTAAGTCCACAATAGACCGTATCCTCGCGCTTCGAGTCATTGTAGAGCGCCGTCGTGAGTTCGGGCGTGGGCTGCTTGCAGCCTACATCGACCTCAAGAAGGCGTTCGATACGTGCATCGGGAATCACTTGGGAGATCCTGAGGCTGAGAGGAATTCCAACAAGGATTATTGGACTAATAGCAAGCCTGTATACTGGTACTGAAAGTGCTGTAAAGTGTGGTGGGGGCCTGTCGAGCTTCTTTCCTGTTAGTTCAGGAGTGAGGCAAGGCTGTGTCCTTGCACCAACTCTTTTCAACACTTGCATGGACTGGATACTGGGCAGAGCTACTGTTCAAAGTCATTGTGGAGCAACGCTGGGCAATATCAAGGTTACAGACCTTGACTTTGCTGATGATTCTTCTGAAAACCTAGTGGTGGCTCTCGATGCATTTAGCAATGAAGCGAAGCCCTTGGGTCTAGAGGTCTCCTGGACCAAGACCAAGGTCCAGGACTTTGGGGACTTGTAGGAGAACCTGTTCAGTCGGTACGTGCTGCTTGCGGCGAGGACATTGAAGTCACAGAGAGCTTTACATACCTTGGTAGTGTAGTTCATAACTCTGGGCTGTCAGACCATGAAGTCAGCAGACGGATTGGCCTGGCAGCAGGGGTCATGAACTCTCTCAACAAGAGTATTTGGAGATGTCGGTACCTGTGCAGAAGGACCAAGCTACGGGTTTTCAAGGCCCTGATAATGCCAGTTTTGCTCTACGGTAGTGAAACCTGGACATTATCCAGTGCCTGGAGTCTCGTCTTGAAGCCTTTTGTAATAGGTCCTTGCGCCGATCATGGGGTACTGTTGGCGGGACCATGTGTCTAACCAACGGTTGCACCGTGAGACTGGCAGACCTGTTACCTGCACAATCCGGATCGCCAACTCAGGCTATATGGCCACCTGGCTCGCTTTCCACAGGCTGATCCTGCCCATCAGGTTGTCTCTGTAAGAGACAACCCTGGGTGGAGGAGGCCTGTGGACGACCTAGGAGTCGTGGCTTGGGCAGATCGATCAAACTGTCGGAAGAGCTCGAGATGGGCCGAGTCCCTGCCTGGCTGCTTGCCATCAGGGATCCCAAAAGGTGGACGCGGCTATGCGCCCCCGTCGACGTTAGCTCATAATGCTGCTGCTGATGATGTACACCTTTGAATAACGACTGATCCATGGTATGAAGGTATTGCTACCACGGCCTGATTAGTTTTTCAGGAACATTAATGTCTATGTTAGAAAGTGAGAGGGGATTATAAATATATATATATATATATATATATATATATATATATATATACATATAATATATTATATATATATATATATATATAAATATAACATACATACATACATACAACATACACACACACACACACACACACACACACACACACGCACGCACACACACACACAACACCACACACACACACATATATATATATATATATATATATATATATATATATATATATATTATATATATATGACCTTGACCGTGGTCATGTCCGGAATGGAGTGCGTGTCGGCTTGAAACAAATAGAAGAACAGATTTATGGTTTTGAAGTAATATGCCAGTTTAAGAATCCTCTTACCTCACCCAGTTCTAGTTTTGGATCTTTTACATTTTCTATCAATATCATATCGACATCTTATTTCTCTTACGAGTCATTACTCGTCGTAAACAATATTTGGCTGCTGAATGCACTGTCAGGCATAGGGCAAATTAGGGAAAAACTATAGCACCTCATTTGAAACAATACGCCCAAATACAAACAATAATATAACAGCACGAGTGACCGCTCAAGCTTTGTTTGGAGATTTATTCTCTCTCTCTCTCTCTTCGTTCCTCTCTCTGTATCTCTCACTCTCCCTCATTTTATTTTTTCAAATGTATCCCTCCTAGCCCCTCGTCTTAATGATGTAGGGGAATTCCCACGCCTGCACAGGTCAAAAGTGATGGCCCCTGAGTTAGTAAAAGGTGGCCTTATAGCTGGAAAGTTGGAATTGGATCCAGGCGATTCCACAGACTGTGAGAATACCGCCACCTCTGCCAGCGTCAGTCGAGCGTCTTTGCGTGTGGCATGCTAAAGGGAGAGAGAAGTTCAACAGAGTCAGTGTCGGGAGTCAGCTATGTCTCAGTGCTTATTTCATAATGTCTGGTTGATGTGATTGCATGATTTGAAGAAGTTGAGTTACTCTGTTTGGAAGAAGAAGAAGAAAGTGGAAGAGAAAGGTGGAAATGAGATGAGGAAGTGAAGAAATGGAAAGATGAAGAAAGGGGAGGGGAGAGTAGGGATAGGCAGAAATTGGGGCAAGAAGATTAGTGAGAGGTGCGAGAGTAAAGGGAAGGCCAAGACAGTAGTATATGGAGCTCGGTGATATGATGGGAAGTTGGGTGGGAATTTACTGGAATTGAGCGTCCGGTCTTATGTTGGTGTGGCGGGGTTTGAGGGAAGAACGTGTTTTTAAGGAAGGCTGTTTGTGTCATGCGAATGGAGTGCGTTGAAGAAATTAGTGTATAAGCGCCGTTTCATGCGCTTAGGTTATTTGAGGTAGTTTAAGGTGACTGATACCACCGCCTCGTTCTCGCTTCACTATTTATTAAAATGCAGTCAAACCTGTAATCAATATAATAACATTCATAATCCCTGTTACAATTAGGTTTATGTTCAGTCACAATATTTTAACCAGTGCTTATACAATTATAACCACAAAAAACTATGTTTTACACCGTTTGCCAAACCTGTTTCTATATTACAATACATAAAGTTTATATACGTATATACGTATGCACATGATATTTTCAACTATCCGTGAATGTGTTTAATACGTACGCATAGCGGGAACAGTCTAAGACCTTTAACAAGTCCCAGACTATAGAGTATTTTTCTTGCGTGGGGAATATTACATTTATTCATGCGGGAAAAACATCAATTTGTCTACATTTGCGCGGATGGATCTGCGGACGGATGATGAAATAAGTGCGCGGAAAGGTCAAAAAAATTTCATGCGTGGAAGATGATCTAAAAAAGAATTAAGCATGCGCGGAAAGTTACCTGAGAACTACATTTGCGCGGACAGAATTTGACCAAATAATTTTTTGCGCGCAGACCAAACTCTACAGTCTGGAACAAGTCTCCAGATTAGCCATTATGTACGTCGTTTCAGGTCAATGTTAACTATCGAACTGCCCTGCACTCCACTGATGGCCGCCTTCGTGAGATGCACTCCTCTATACATTTGTCATCTCAAGGGTCGAGGTGTATTATTTAAACACATCAACACAGGGGACCATGCCTATGACATTAAATGTCGCAGTTCACGTGGCTACATAGTGCGATAGATGTGAAAAATGAGCTCGAAAATTAGACAGGCCACTACTGTTGCAAATTTACAATGTTACTGTTAATTAGCCCAGTGTGAAAGACCCGATGCAGCTGAAAGGGTACCAGCAGGCATGCTCGTATCTCTCGCAACTGTTTTCACATTGTATGGCCCTCTGGCTCCATTTGACAGCCCCAAGACAAATCATGTCCGTGTACTTGGGGTGACAAGGGTTAGGGTTAACATTATCGCCATAAGCACTACAAAATAGCATCAGAAGTAGGATGGTGTGTGGTTCTATTTTGGTAGCGTGGGTTAACTAGTTTGTTCGTTGGGTAGCAGGATAACTCAGAAAGTCATGGATAGATTTTTATGAATTGTTTACAAGTGATGTGCCTTACCCATGTGGTGATGATTTTGGTGATGATTCGGCTCCAGGAATTTTTGTTTGTTGGTTGGTTGGTTTCGTCAGCAGGGTAACTCAAAATGTTTGGAAGGTGATTCTTATTATTTATTTATTTTATTTATTTATTTTTACCAGAGCCCAACTTGGATGCCATTAGATTTGTGATGATCCGGAACATGACCCGGACCCAGATTTTGTTAAGGATTTCATTAGTATTGCAATATAGGGAAACACGGACGTCAACAACGTTAAGGGCTGGACTTAAACGGAAATGCGTGTGCTAAACGGAAACAAAAGACGACCGACGGATGGTGACGTCACTCCGGATTTTTTTTCCTATGGCCGTATTTTTGTTATTTTGTATGACTACAGATGGTTTGATGCAAAGGAAAGAAATTTAAAACAATATTGAGTTTTTTCCATGTTTAAATAAACGAAAATTGCTGAAAATATCCTATTATGAACTGCTATATTTGCCAGTCCTCAGATGTCACTCCAGCTGGTTTAGCTGGGCATTATCGAAGGCAGAGTCAGTCCCATAGAGTGACTTTTAAACTTTCAACCCTACAACACACTATGAATAATCGTATACTGTTTAGATAAACCAAGTTTACACGTTCAATGTCACATTTTCTTGTAATGCATCGAAATATTTCCTATAAAGAGATGCGGGTGCATTTCATATTGTTGAATGTTACCATATTGTCTTGGTAATATATTTCTTGTATATTGTTTTAGCATACAGTAAACAAGAAAGTAACGCAGGGAATCTTATAATCAGCAGACTGATCCTACGCTTTGTAAGTGTTATTTAATATATATCCGTTTATGATAATGTATGGTCCATTGTTATTTTTATCCGTTTTCTTTATCATCTGATGTTTAGTTGTGGTGTATAAATAGATAAGTATATAGGTAGATAGATAGGTAGACAAACAGATAGTGACAGAGACATTTTAGTTTATTTCTGGTTTTCACTGCTTTCTCTATTTTCACTGCCGTGGCCCAGTGGCCAGTGGCCGACAGTTGGAGAACCTCTGCTGCAAAATGTAAAAAATATATCGTTCAAAATAATCACATCATTCTAGAGTGGAGAGAAGTTAAGAAAATTTAATGCAAACAATGCAAAAATGCTATAGATTTGATGTACCAAGAAAAGAAATATTTCGATAGATTATTATAAAGAAATCCATAATTCTAGATTCGAACGCAATCTCACTCGCCTGCCGTTGTGGCGGGAAAAGTCAGCTGTTGTGATTGTTTACCTCGGTGGAGCCGAAGTACCTAATATTTGCACTTATTCAGTAGTTGAACCATCAGAATGGATGAGTTTCCGAATGCAGAGGATGAATATGAAATGCTCCATGCAGATGAGTTGGAGATGATGCGAGAATTTGATAGTAAGTTTCTTTTAACTGCCACAGGTGTAAATTTTGTGCATTTCTAGTTTGATAAGATTATTGAGTCCGCATATCTCGTGGAGTACATTTAATGTATTTTCACATATCTGGTAAATATTCAGAATAGCTTCGTAAGACCGATCACGACGAATGTAGTCTTGATGGATTCTTCTCGCTCTCTACTGTCCAAATATATAGAAATGCCGAAGCTACCCCCAAACTCCACAAACATGGCCCCGATAGTCAGAAAATCGCATAAATGGTAGGTACTAAGGAAATTACAGGGTAAGACATGAATAATATACTGAGATTTGTTCAATATTTAGTCAAATGCAGGGGGCTTCTGCAACTCCTGTTCTGGATAAGGAAGAATTGACCATGTATGTACAGCAGGATAAAGCATAGGGCAAACTCGGCATTGGTTGTCAGTGAATTCATACAGGATTCTATGTCTTACTTTGTGGGCATTGGTGGAGGCAGCTCCTCATGGGGGAATTACAGAGGCCAGGGAGCCCTGCATTTGAATATACCAATTTGGTAACGCTTAGCAACCGCCCCTAGTAATGAGCACTTGGTGAAAACAAACCCTCGTTTGTTCAGAATCTCAATGTGCTTAGCATACAAAGTTGCTGAATTTTTCTGAGAATTCTGTTCCTTTGTGTGAAAATGCTGAGAAGCTGAGTTGCCATTGGTTGTTTGAACCACATGATGATGGAAAAGAAAGTTTTAACCTTTCATATATTCCCAGATATGAAAAGAAACCTGATAAATGGAAGTGATAGGTACAGGCCATGAAATGCGTGAACACTGATGGGAGTGCTTGGGCGCGTGGTGGAAAATGTTTACATCAGCATATTTTATTGATCTACATATTGATATTTTAAACCTTTTCAGATTCCAAAGACAGATAATCACTTTCAAACTCTATCTATCTATACTATCTGCCAAGGCCAAACAAGGTCAACATTGTCGACATTAGGTGTTGGCAGCAGTCATATACCAAAAAAATTGCAACAGCAATTTTACTATTTTGTTTTTTCATTTGTAAAAAATTGACCTATCATGATTCAAATTTAAAGGTAAACCATCCCTGGATCCAACTCATCCAGACTTCATCCCAAGTGTCTTCAAGCACTGTTCATTAAATGAAAACAAAGCAGGCATACAATTGCCTGTTGCTTTTGTGTCTGAATATCCTTTGGTCCAGTAGTTGAAACAACTGAAGAGGGCCTATCTCTTGAGGTCAAATTATTGAGGAGAGAGAAAAATGCTTTGTGCACTTGTAGGCCTTTATGTAGTTTCATTGTCTCCTTTATATAAACACCTAGTAATGGGAAGAAAAGTACCCTCTATAGCTAAAAGTCATAGATTAATGTATCAAATTATGTTATCATAAAATTTTTACCAGGTGTGTTAGTGAAATTGTCGTAGATGTCAGAGTATTCAACATTAGGCCTTTTCGAAGGATTGTCGATCCAAATTTTGGCAGGCAGACGATATGGGCAGTCTTTTAGTTGCACAGTCTCTATTTTTTCTTTATATCGCTTTTTCACTTTATTTTTTTGAAAATTCATATGCCATTTTTGCTCATGCTGATAACAAAGGTATCTGCAAGAGATGGGTTTGTTTTCACCAAGTGGAATGGTGACTGACTCATGACGTCACACCAAATCGGTCTATATTTATTGACCAATTCTCTGTATATTCATATTTTGCCCCACATTTTTCCTGGTACCAATTATACCCTTTCCTGCTATTGGGCCAAGATTGTTGGGGTTTAGGGCTTAGGTGGCAAATGTCCTACATGTATGGGTAGTAGAGGGTGAGAGGAATCCATTGATATCATTATTGTTGTGGTTGGTCCTTTGAAGGTATTCTAAACAATTACGTAATATTCCTTGTTTTAATTATTCACACTAATGTGTGGGAATCTCTTGTTATTTTCCATTGCAAAAAGACCAAGCCCCAACTCCATATGAGGTGGAGACAATGTTTCCCCCAGGAAACATTGTCTCCACCTCATATGCACAACAAGATAGAGCTGAAACTCAGGAGCACCGAGTGGACTTCGGCTGAGTGGTGCTTTCTGTGATCTTTTACTTTCATTTTTTGGCCTTATCATTCGTGTCTGTATATTACATTTTGTACCAGCGACTGCAAATTTTTGCCCTCTACAAAAAATATCATATTCAGTTTGCCCAAACTTATTGCGTCCTTACTGTATAGATTATTATTTTTTTTTGTGGTAATTATTTTCCTGTAATGCAACCATTGCTGCTGGTCATGGTGGGCAAGAATAGGATCCCCTATGGAGCTGGTGAGGTAATTCTTTACATATCCACTAGCCAGAGACAGTCCCCAACTCCACGTCACAAAATTTATTCAACAATCTAAGTTGCTGTGATTGAGTGTGTCCTTTGGGTACTGCATGAGGGAAGGTTTATGGAGGACTAGTATGACAAATTCGTCATTCTGGTCCATATAGGGTTAATACTTGTATGGAATATGAAATCCCATGCTGTGGCCAAAGAGTTGACATTACCAGATTTTGAACTTAGGGCTATATTGAAATCAGATGGTTCCCTTTAGACAAATACAATCATTACCACAAATTTATTGCAGATTTTGATGAAGATGCTGCAGCTGCAGAGGCAGCAACTATTCCTCCCTCCATCAAAAGAAGCCTTAATTTTGCAAGTCCACCACCAGTGTCTGTAAAAAATACAGCTATAGATGAAGGTATGCTTCTTACACTTACATTGTACTTTTGAGGGCTGTACCTCATTAATTACCACAGTCACAGCCAAACTGAATATATGTAGTGCACACTTATGGAGCAAATTCGACTGTGCATGTCATGGATACTTGTCACCTGGCACAAGGGCTTGCTTTGCCAAGGAAAAAAATAGATGCCATAAGCTTTTTATGTTGCATTTGAAATTGCTTGCTGTACTGTTTGAACTTTTATATACTATTGTATATATTTTTAGAGGTGAATTGATTTGAAAAAATTGAAATGATTTACTGTTTCTTAGGTATTGCAGAGATATCCCAAATAGATGAAATTCAGAATGGTGGCCTTATGAACAGAAAGAGACCTGCAGACAGGGCATTTGATGATGATCTTGACCAGTTTCTAAATGATGATTTCATGGAAAATAGTAAGTGTTTTCTTAGGAAATACTTTTGTACGTCTTAGAGTTGATTATAGCTTAATTGTATGATTACGAAATAGATTTATTAATTATTCAAGTTTTGTTTCCTGCAGATTAATTTCATAATGTGTGAATATCAATTACTATGGTGACAGTTCTATAGCATGACATCTTGAGATGAATTGATTAGTGGTAATTTCAAGCTTGTTCTAGTTTTGTTACCATGCAACTTATTATACATGTTATATATTTCAGAAAAAAAGAAACAAAACCATTACTTCCAAATTTAGGAAAATCCAACAATCCCCAGGATATTGCTAAACATGAAGCAGATTTGGACTTAATTAACATGATCCTTGAAACTAGAAAAGGCCTCCATAGAGCTGATTTGCCTGATGCAATACACACACTTCATGTTTGTGAAAGGTAATTGTTAATATTTTTTATTTCACTTATATCAGCTTATCAATTTTTCAAGAACCCATCATATAAGTTGACTTACTGTCAAGTATTTAGCAATGAATAACATTGCATAAGTTTGTCAAAAATGAATGTCTTCACTGTCACATGAAGTGGTCTTGGTCAGTCATCATGTTATTGATGAATATTTAAGATTTATTATCAAATTTATTTTCTTAGATTTTATTCATTTGTGTGTCTTGTGCATATTAATTTCTTTTTTATTACTAAGTGGATCCTTGATTGTACAATTTGTTCATATATTTTTCTTGTTTGCACAAAACTAGACATGATTGCTTATTTGTGAAAAAAAAAATCAAAACAGCAAAGCCATGAATATGAAAGGTATCCAAATTGTAGAAAATGAAGGGTGCTTAAAAATCTGCAATATTTCTTGAGCTCTTGAAGGGGACCGTCCCTGGCCATAGGGGGTCGGGGGTACTTGAATTTTGTTTTTGGTCCTAATGTATTGTTACATGTCTTAATGTCTTCACTGTCATATGAAGTGGTCTTGGTCAGTCATCATGTTATAGATGAATATTTAGATTTATTATCAAATTTATTTTCATAGATTTTATCATTTGTGTGTCTTGTGCATATTAATTTCTTTTTTATTACTAAGTGGATCCTTGATTGTACAATTTGTTCATATATTTTTCTTGTTTGCACAAAACTAGACATGATTGCTTATTTGTGAAAAAAAAAATCAAAACAGCAAAGCCATGAATATGAAAGGTATCCAAATTGTAGAAAATGAAGGGTGCTTAAAAATCTGCAATATTTCTTGAGCTCTTGAAGGGGACCGTCCCTGGCCATAGGGGGTCGGGGTACTTGAATTTTGTTTTTGGTCCTAACGTATTGTTACATGTCTGAGGAAACTGCCTTTTGATTGTTAGACTCCATCTCGAACTATTTCTTGTGTAACAAGGGCATAAGCAACATGGGGTGCAAGTGCATTTTCGCTCATTTGAGGTAAATGGCCTTTACACTTGTTCCAACCATTCCTCCGGCTTATGATAGAGTAATTACATGTTGATATCAGTTCAAATAATGATTGTTACGCCTTATGTCAATTCATGAATGATACAATATAATTTATGATGAAATAAAGATTTTTTTTTTTAGTTTGCTTTAGTAGGTGTATATGACTGTTTGAGTAGGCCTACATGCAAAACACTTACTGCATTGAAACCTCAGGGTTGTATGATATTGTTTAGCTATCGAATACCATGTCTTCATATCAAATCTGCAATTATGTGCAGGTGCGCACACGAGCGTGTGTGTATGTTTGTGTGTGAGCTCGTGCAAAAGTGTATGAGAGTAAGCCCACGTGCACTTTTGCGTATAGGTGTGTGCCCTTATGTGTGTGCATGCGCGCGCGCACTTGTGTGCATATTTGTGCGCGCGCGCACTTGCGAGCATACATGTAAGCACGCGTGCGATTGTGACAATACATATGTGCGTTGTGTGTGCACCTGTTTGTTAGAGTATGAGGTGAAGCTAGAGTATGGCCGAAGGCAGGTGAACAAGTTCAAACTTGCGTGTGCATGATCGCAGGGGTAACCAGCATTAAAGGGCCGCATGGTGTCGCGGTGGGACGATGTCATCGCCACTCCATTTTACATTTTTTGATGCTGCTCACTAACCCTTTATCCGATCTGAATGAAATAAAGACCATTAGAAAGAGCAGCGTCTGGGCTTCCTTTTGGACTATATGCGCATAATATAAGTTGAACGACAAACTATGGGAAATGAACGATAACTTTATAAACACTTTCAAGGTCATTTACCTAAAATCAGTTTTTATTTCGACATGTGTTTATAAGTGTGAGTGCGTGTTAGTGTGTACGTGTGTACACGTGTGTACGTGTGTACACGTGTGTTTGTGTTTACGCGCATGTGCGCGCGCATATTTGCTGGAGGGTGATGTAGAATAGAATAGTACGGCTGAAGACAGGAGTGCGAGTTCAGACATGTGCCGAGGTAATCATACAGCACACACACATGTGCACATGTGTGTATGTGGTATGTGCACTTCTGTATGTGTGTTTCTTGTGTGTGTGTGACTATGATTGCTCGCGCGAGTATGAGTGCATGAGCGCACGCGTTTGAATGAATAAGTGCGCGCGCTTGTGTTGTATATCCGTGCCTGCGCATGTGCGTGTGGTGCGCGCTATTAGTTAGAGTGTGATATGAAGAGTAGAGGACCACTGGAAGCATGGCCAACAAGTGTGTGACATGCACACACGTGATCGCAGGGCTAGCCACAGCATTTAGTAGGCCGCATGGCGGCGTCGGTGGGGATTTTTTCGTCATATTGTTTTACATTTTTTTATGCTGTTTCATTAAACACTTATCCGATATGAATGAAATACAAACAAAAGAAAGAGCAATGTCTGGGCTTCCTTTTGGTCTATATATACGCACTTGTGTGCGTATATGTGCGCGCCCGCGCATGTCACAATTAGTTGGCCATGCTTCCAGTGGTCCTTACTCTTCTAATCAGCAATACACATACGTGCGTGCGCCGCGCGCGCTTGCGCGGCCTGTTTGTTAGAGTATGAGGTGAAGCGTAGAGGACAGGACGGCTGATGGCAGTGCGAACAAGTTCAAACTTGCGCGTGCGATCCAGGGCTAGCCACAGCATTTAGTAGGCCACATGGCTGTGCAGGTTGGGGATTTTTTTGTCATACTGTTTTACATTTTTTTACGCTGTTCATTAATCACTTATCCGATCTGAATGAAATAAAAAAACAAAAGAAAGAACATTGTCTGGGATTCTTTTGGTCTATAGGCACATACTATAATAAGACGAAAAAAATATAGAAAATGAACAAAAACTTTCTAAACATTTTCAAGGTCATTTATTTGCTTATCATTTTTTTAAACTTTGTACCACAGTTTGTGTCCGATATCATGGGCTTCTCCCCGAAGAAAGAACGTTTGAATGTGCAGAGAATAACGAATGGGATTTTTTAAAATCAAAATTTTAAATTTTTAACGAATTTTTAAAACCCCGATTAAAAAAAAAAAAATTGCTGATTATATTACATGTGATAATTCGGGAAACTAAACGGAATTTCCAAATTCGAATTCGTCGTTCTTATTGTATGACCTAGAGGTTTTCTCAACAGAAAACACATAGAAAACGGATGATAATTGTGAGACTTGGTAGGTACCGAAGTGACGTATGTATCAAAAATCGATTTTATAATAGCGCTTAAATCCCTTCAGCCAAAATTTTTTAAAAATTGGTCAAAAGATGTGGTAATGAAGTACTCTTTCATCCTACCAAAATTCATGAAAATCTGTAAGACCGTTTTCTATTATAAACAAAAATAGAAAATTGGCGTTTTTTCAGGGACGGTCCCCTTAAGCTTCTTTTACTTACTGTGAGATGTAATATGCTATTGATGTTACTTGTCCTGAATTGCTAATTTGAGATAGCTTCAAGATCTTTTCCTTCTGATAAAGACGTATGTTAACTAATATCCTCTTTTGTAGACCCAAGCATGAAGCTCGGATTTATAAGCGTCCTTCCTGATGGAGCTTTCCAGGCTGTCACAACAGAGACTGGGAACGTTACTACTTAACAAGATTGAGAAGAGGAGTGGGATAGTCAAGTCAATTCCATAACTGCTTCTCATAAAGCAAATTGTCCTTAAACATACCTATGCTCAACTGAAAGCTCAGGCAGAGCGGGAGGTAAATACATATTTGTTTTTCATTTTTTTTACCTTTTGTAGAGTTTGTACTTTTGCTTCAAGATTAGTTTGTGGCAAAAAGAATTAATCAATTTGATTATATGTATGTAAAAAAGATATCTATTCTCAGCTCTTTTTTTTGTGTTGTGTGTGTGTGTTGTTGTGTGTTGTGTGTGTGTGTGTGTGTTGTGTTTGTGTGTGTGTGTGTGTTGTGTGTGTGTGTTTGTGTGTGTGTTGTGTGTGTGTGTGTGTGTGTGTGTTGTGTGTGTGGTGTGTGTGTGTGTGTGTGTGTGTGTGTGTGTGTGTAAATGCATGTGTGCATGTGCGTGTGTGTGTGCGTGTGCGTGTGCGTGTGTTGTGCGTGTGTGTGCGCGTGTGCGTGTGTGTGTGTGTGTGTTGTGTATGTTTGTGTGTGTGTGTGTGTGTGTGTGTGTGTTTATCAAAGGACTCAACCATTTACTATTTCTTGACCTTTCCCATTGGCTCTTGCCTTGTCCAGTCAGGTATATCTCTAGCTTTTCTTTCATTCAAAAAACTAAAGAATCAAAGTTTAGTGTTTCAGACCTGGTTGATCTAGTATCTATATTCATATTTCTTTACAGCAAATCCGACAGGATGAAAGAAGAGCAAGGAGCTTACAAGAGGCAGAGGACTCTGGCATGGAATCTGGTGTAGAAGATGAGGAGGTAGTGAAAGATACACTGTGGGTGTGAGAAGTACAAGCCCAGACACTATTTGGACTTACTTAGTGAGGAGGTTTGTTTATAATGTTTGTGTGTGTGTGTTGTGTGTGTGTGTGTGTGTGTGTGTGTGTGTGTTGTGGTGTGTGGTGTGTGTGTGTGTGTTGTGTGTGTGTTTGAGTTGTGTGTTGTGTGTGTGTGATGTGTGTGTGTGTGTGTGTGTGTGTGTGTGTGTGTGGTGTGTGTGTGTGTGTGTGTGTGTGTGTTTGCACGCA